AGGTCAATTTTCTCAGTTACTGTAGCGTGACGGGACCACCAACCTGCCTGTCTTACCACACTGCGGGCCTTATGGCTATTCAGGCTAACCAACGTCTGAATCGGTACTTATCCGATTACGAATAGTCTACAAAGAAAATTCATGAATCTTATTTCTAAAAAGACCCTCACAACAAGAATAGTATTGTATAAATAACCTGAAAGACATGATGTATTCTATATTACGAAACAGTATAATCAGTAATACTAAATCATATTATCAAGATACGACTGACTCCAGGACAATATATGTGGATTTAGCTGCTCATATTTTATACAAAAATATGTAACACATGGCTCTGATACCAGAAAACGGATCGTATGTATAACTTAAAAATACATAAATTAAAAGCGCAATAAAAGAATACTTACTTAAACATTACTTTATTTATTTCATAGCAAGAGAGTACATTGAAAACATTCAGAGAAAATCTTAAGGACCGAAACTTTTCTGATGCTTCCTATTACATTTTGTAAGTTCTTATATAGAACTTTGAGAGAGATATCCTTGTGGTGAGATACTTTCATAAGTTTGGGGGACCGAAGGCAGTTCTCCGTGCACCGGACTGAACCTCCTTCCCAATACAGGCTTCGCAGCCATCCCTGCTTGCATTTTTGAAAAAAGCGGTGCTGGTAAGGCCGGGACCGTGGTCGTCCGTCTCCGGTTTGCCGGCCGATAAGATCTCTGAGATTGATGGTCATCTTTAATGATGCTTTCTTGGTAGTGCAGACTTGATTTAATAAAAATCTTTTATTTTTAGCGGTGGCTTTTATAAAGTTGTCTGGGCTGTCAGGATCATCTTTAAATAAAGCTGTCCTTGATAATGATGTCTTATCTTTTGATGATGACTGCTTGTCTTCTACTTTTGTGAAGGGGCAAGTCTAAAGGGGTAAGATTCCAATGAAGATGTGTCTCTGGAATTACTAAGGGGTAAGATTTCATGAATTAACTCTGGAATTACTTAGAGTAAATTCCATAGGAGTTTTAGTACAAAGTGCTCAAAGTGAGGAATGAGAAAGAGTTCAATACTAAAATGTCAATGTAAGAATTTAAGCATACATAAACATGACAGCCTCAAACAAGTATAACACCCCAGAATTCTTTCAAATGACTACATTGAATGAACATATTCAGGCCTATACAAGTTGCGATTAAGGATTCCAGAAGAAATTCAAAGCAAGGTCGACACAATATCATATTGACTTAGAAAGGTCCACATAACACAGATGTTCAGAAGCATGAACACAAACCGGGATAAAACATAATTGCGAGGGCTTGGACACATACCAATTTACAGATTTAATAACAAGTAGAGGAGAATCACCAAGTTCCAGTAGCAAAATAAGAACAACAGCAAAAACTCCAAACTCTAGTACGACAGAGTTCACAGGAGCTTCGAACGAGCCCCAAGCAATGCTCGCGCTAGGGAGGTAGATAGAGAGGATTCCGGTGGCCTTGACTTTCAGCCAGCCACATTCAAGAGTACATAATAATCCAGAAAGACTGAGAGAATAACAGTAGTTTTGAGGTCCCTTTAGGGGAAACAGGAAGGGGTTCTTATAGTAATAAAATTGAACGAACAAACAAGGAAACATAGTTAATCAAACACAAATAAGGAAAGAAAAGCATGCAAAATCGATTTAGAATCAATTTAGGAGAAAAATCGAGTAAACCCTAGTTCAAGAAGGAGAACACAAATAGTCAAATATCTCACTAAATCGGACCCATATAGTCTGGTAGTGAATGTATCAAGTCAAGAACATGAAAATCATACAAAATGGGAGTTGAACGAACACCCACTGACTCAGCTTCCATAAATAATTGAGTAGCAAACACTGTAATATTGAGAAAATGGTAAGAACCTCCATGTGTGCAAAAAAGAAAAGGGAACATGGAAGATTTTCCATGTGATATCGGATTAGGGACTAAGGTTTGAATGGAGGCGGCTAGGATTTCTTTCAGAGAAGAGAGAACATTCGAGCGGGTATGGGGGCGGCTGTTAGGTGGGAAATGAGGTAGGTTTTTCGGGTTTGGGTATTTAAAATAGAGAGATTGCTTATGGGCCTTTGATCATCTGAGATCAACATCCAGGATTTTAAAAAAGAGCGGGGCGGGTCATTGAGACGGGTCGCGTCCGGGTATAGTAAAGGGGTCGTTTGGTTTGCGCTGTTGAAGGGTGAATTATGGTGTGGGCTAAATGTTTTGGGCCTGATTTTGGTCCGAAATTAGTCCTATATTGGACTACAATTTAAATACACGAAATTTATTTAAAAATAAATTATAAAAAATAATAATAAAAATATTATTTATGCAGTAAAATGCTTGAAAATAATAGCTTAATATTATAAAAATATAAAATGCTATTTTGTTATAAATAATATTATAAACGCAATTATTTATAGAATATAGGCCATTATTGTAACTAGTGTAGATAAAATAGAGAAAATGCGAATATAATTATGTAAAAATGAGATAAGATATTATAAGCTGCATATGAGTATAAAATGATAAATTTGGATGATTACATAAACCTAAAAATAATTTAAAGGGATGATTAGTAAATATTTGAGCAAAATAAATGGATCAATTTTAAAGTTTTAAAAAATTATAGAAAATACTTATATGGACCTTGTAAATTGGGTAATAATGCAAAGTGATATTTTGAAAGTATACATAATACTTTATAAAATATAAGGGCAAAATTGAGTATCAACATTTACTCCTCGTGGATTTTATTTTCACATATATACATATGTACACTTTTATTTGCAGTAAATTATAGCATGACTAAGATTCTTTTAAGTTCTTGTTCAACGCTTGACTAGCTCAAAAGAAAGTAGCTGAAGTTTGTAGATGGGCTTTTGAATAAGAAATGGGTGATTTACGAGAGCAACGGCCCCTAGCGCCAAGAGCAAGCACATTTAATTTATATTATTTTCTTAACGTGTGTCATATGCTATTAGTACTATTTCATTTTGTGAGAGAGCTCTTTCTCCATGAAAATTGAATAATTAAACTTGGTAAGATTAGTTTGAAGATTGTTACATAACTATAAATCATTAAGGTACATAAAACTATTCGCCATTTTTCAAATTTTGACCGTAGGCATTTGCATCTTATAGTCATGTATCTTTATCAACAGATATACAAACGACGCTACCTTAAAATTTCATCAGGATGCAGCTTCGAAAGATCAATTTGGAATCCAATTCTAAAAAATATTTCCATATTGCTATTAGCTACGGTCCGAGGAACCTATATGTAATATTGAAAGGTTACCGGATCTCGTAAACTTCAGCAGTGTATATACATGTGGATACTTTGAAAATGATTAATTTAAATTACTTGGCACCCTAAACACTAAAAGCTTTTAGGGGCACTGGTTAAGCAGAATACTGTGCTCTGTCGTGTTAAATTTCTGGGTCCGGCTCTATACGGAGTAATCCTAGTACGAGTGAGAATCACAACTGTGGACCAAAAAAGATGCTTGAAATCATTTTAATACTTATATTCCTATGTGATATGATAGAGGCAGCAGTGCAAACTAAGTGGCCAAGTATAGACAAAAAAGAATAAATAAGAGATCTTTAAGCAAACGCCACAACCGAAAAATAGGCTAGTTCATTAAATCAGTAGGCCGTGCTAGCCTTTGCTGTGATTACTTTTCCCCTATGTAAAAACAAAGGAATCGTCCTTGCTTGAAAACTATTGCCAAGACAGATGCTACTACGTACATGTCTTTATTCAATAGCGATCTGAGCTCTTGGAATATGAACAAATTCGAAGAATTGCAAAATCTTGGTGATCTTCACTATTTAATGAATGGGGGAGTTGGCAGTATATGTGTCTATTAATTAGAAGCTGGTATTGGGTGAAACCTCAAACTATTCAAAATAAGGATGCTTTTAGGTAGATGAATTTGAGTAATGATTCACATAATAGCCTGGTTTGCTGTCACTTATTCTACAACGTTGTCTAGAACACCTATCTTAATGCCTTGGAAACGGTTAAGTTTATCTCCTAGGACAAGGGAGAAAAAAACTTTACACCAAATCACATTAATTATCTACCAAGTTTAAGCGATTAATTAAGGAGCAAATACGTATAAATTAATTATGATCAAGTCATAAAAGTATATATGAAAAACGTGTCATGCATTAATCAGCTTGGAGTAAACATCAAATGTGGGTATGATTGATGGTAAGAGAAGGATGGAGATTTTTCTAAGGTCTTATGTATTCATAAAAGTTTTTATTGTTTTTTTACCGTCTTGCTTAGGAAAGACACATCTCCGTCCAGACAAGATCCTTCAAGTTTCATTTTTGAATGAAGTTAGACGATACAACTCTTATTAGTTTAATAATTTACTCAGGAATTATTCAATGAATCGGTTAATTGGAATTGCGGGATGAATATATATTACAAATGATAAATCAATTTCTTTTTTTATATGTCTGCCAGCGAGGTTCAGAAAATAGGCATATAAAGAATAGAAGTGCTGACTCTTAATCCCACAGAGGTTCAACTTAACTATCAAACACTACGAGGGGGTGAAGAACTACTGGGAAAAATAAATGAACGAGCACTGGCCCTTGACCTCTCACCTCCATTCCTTGCAAGAAATAGGCTGGGAAAGAATTTGCTCGACATCAATGGCAACCCAATTTAGTCATTTGAAACAAAATCTAACATTTACAATAACAGAAGAGAGTTTTGCAGTGGCAGAGCCACATTGCCAAGGGTGGTCAATTGAATTCAGAATCTAACATTTACAATACCAGATGAGAGTTCTGCAGNTATATATATATATATTGATCGTTGCATCTTATTAAAAATCTGAAAATGTTTATAGTATAGTGGCAAAAAGGATTCAAAAAATACTTAAGATCATAGGTTCCACTTTTAACAGTGACATTTAGTGTTTTTTGAATCCCTTTGTCTCGAATCCTGCCTGAGCCCCTAGGTTTGCTGACTTCCAACAAATTACCTCCCTTACGAAAAAGTATGGCTTAATGATCAATGAAGTGGGTTGAGAACCTGATGTCTCAGGTTCAAATCTCAGTAGAAATAAAAGCATTAGGTGTTTTCTTCCCATATGTGTAAGCCTTGGTGGATAAAGTCACATGGTACCTATTGCTGGTAGGAGGTAGCACGTATTTCGTAGAATTTAATCAAGGTGCGCGCAAGCTGGCCCACACAGCACAGTTATAAAAAAAAAAAGAAGGAAAAGAGGTAACAAGGAGTAAATTCAATAGGTGATACAAAAACATATGGAAGCAAAGACATCATAAATGACTTTCATATTCCCTGTACTATGTTAATGTTATGGATTGTCACGTTCTTCTCTCTCATGCAATAATGCTAGGTCACGTTAAAGTCGAAGTCCTTGTTGTAAGTTTGAGGCCAATAAAAGTAGCTTCATCTGTCAACATAAACTTTCCCCATTCTGTACGAGAAACCTATCAAATTGTAGTATCTTTAGCTCATCTTTAATCCAAATCCTGTTCTCCACTTACCAGACTTCACATAGAAGCAGAAAGGTATGGAACTTTGTGGTCCTCACATATTCTTTCCCTTCTCTTTCACCTTTATTTATTTCAAGTATCACTTTATTCATTTTCTCATATTCTTGTGCTCCTCTCTCTAGTTTTTCCCAACTTGTTTGCTTCCCCACAAAGAGATGGAAACTAGCAAATGGGAAGAGAAGAGAAGCATGACGGCAGCAGAAATGGAAGAGGAGGATGACGAGGAAGACGAAGATGTTGTGGAGGACAACAAAAGGAAGAGGGTCTTGACTCACTCGGGAAGGAAGGTACCTGGCGGAGAGGGTTCAAAGCTGCCTTCCTGTCAAATTGAGGACTGCACTGCAGATATGGCAAATGCCAAGACATACCATCGCCGCCACAAGGTCTGTGAATTTCATGCAAAGGCTCCAGCAGTACTTATTGGTGGACTCCGACAGCGTTTCTGTCAGCAATGCAGCAGGTTCAAAACTCTAAATCTTTCAATATGCATTTGAGTTTAACTTCTATACACCGATGAGATCACCTAAAAGATAATTACAAGGAACTGCCTATACACTTGGAAAATAAGGCAGGCAATTTGCTACAACAGGTTAAATTACACGGTCAGTGTACAAAAGTTAAATTCTATGCATTTCTAGTTTGTATATGTGTCTTTGTGTTGTCTTACGATAACATTAAAATGCAGTTATATGCATAGCTTAGAACACACACAGCCACTAGGCACACAAACAAGCATTTCAATTAGCCGATGACCACAAAACAGGATAACTTTAGCTAAAGCCCTAATGCATCTACATCAAAGACCATCACCTTCAACAAGAACAAAACCAGAGTGGCATAAAGTTGCAAGGCTGGTAATCCTCCTCACATGTTATGCTTCGGGTATCATTTTATTTAAGAAACATAGTTCTGGGTGAACAACAAATCCACTAATATCCTTGTATTTATGCTGTTTAAAATAACAATATATTCTTCATAAAAAGCTCATTGAGTCTACAGATTAGATAGCCTTCAGATTCACATAGCATGGAACCAAAGCCAAATCAAACAACTATGGGGGCAGCCTGATGCACTAAGCTCCCGCTATGCGCGGGATCCGAGAAAGGGCGGAACCACAAGGGTCTATTGTACGCAGCCTTACCCTACATTTCTGCAGGAGGCTGTTTCCACGGCTTGAACCCGTGACCTCCTGGTCACATGGCAACAGCTTTAGCAGTTACGCCAAGGCTCCCTTTCCCAAATCAAACTACTATAATAACGGTAATTTCTTTTGTATGAATTTCATTGTGCTCAGTGCTGCTTTAAATTCAAAGGTAAGGGCATTCTAAATCAATAACACTAGTATGGAGAACAATCTGTTGTCGAGTCTCAAAATGGGAATTCTTTGTCGTTCCCTGCATTTATTCGGCAGGCAGGAAACCTGGACCGAAGATACTGACGGGATAAATATCTGAACCTCCAAGGTAAGATTATTGCATCTGATACTGGGTTATTCCCAGAAGGTACCTTCATTTCCTATAAAGACAGACAAAATATTACTACTACGGAGAACAAATAATTTCTCTCCTCTCAAACAGGGCTTATTCTTGACACCCAATTTTCTATTCCAAAAGCAGGAGGTAGGCTTGATTCAACTAATATTAGGGCATGCTAAAGATTCACTCATTTCCTATAACAATCTGTAGTCTCTCATCAATGATGAAAGTCTATACACATCGCACGGATTTTACTGATCTTTTAATCAGCTGCTTTTAAGTTGCAAACTCTAGGCATAGGTAAAAATTAAGTACTGTAAACTCACCATGGCCTGACAACTGAAACATAAAAACTGAGTAAGAACCAACAGTAAGACAAAGAAATAAGCAAGGGCAAAGCTTTTTCTTCCTAGATCCCTTTCCCTTAGTGACTAGAATGGAACCAACCAGATCTTTATTTACGGTCTTTTTTCTAGCTCTATTTTGTTGCAAGGATGTTGTATCTTGGTTGTCTTGTGTCCTCTCAGAACTTTTCTGCGGAATTTCATTTCTTTTATATCATGAATTTATAATATGCAGGTTTCATCAGTTGGGAGAGTTCGATGAAGCAAAAAGGAGTTGCAGGAGACGTTTGGCAGGCCACAATGAACGCCGTCGTAAAAGTTCATGTGATTCTCCTGGAGAAGGGTCAAGTTAAAGGGGCATCAGTCCAATGGCAGAGAAATCACCTACTTGTGGACTGATGGAAGATAAACTCCCACTGAAAAATATAATCACGGTTTTACCATGCTCGCTCTCTTCTGTCACTATCCAATTTTCCTTTTTAACAAAAATTATCATGTAAGGTATGCATTGAGTAGTAATTTCATTTCGCTTGAAAAGAAAGGAGTATGAAAGAGTGTGTCATTAACTTTGTCTGTTAGTACTTTGATAGTTCGTAGACTGAAAATATAATTATGCTGTGTTACATATGGATGCTGCTTGAAAACTTCCCTCTTGACATGCCATCTCACACTTACAAAGTTTCTTTAATTTTTCTAATTATCATCACTCTCACAGAGCTTGAGTCTAGCTTAAAAATGCTTTTCACCTCATGCAACAAAACAGCACTCAATGAGCATCACAAAATATAAACTGAGTGTGAGAAACAGGTAGAATTGACCTGTTCAATTAGGCATATAGTTAGTATTCGACTGCACTGAAGCAGATTGGAGTACGCAAAACCGTTTTTCACAGAATATATCACCAATATTGCAGCTAATAATGTTGTGCAATAAAGCTTAAGAAGAACACTCCAACTTCAATTAACTTTGACCAATAACCAACCACATCAATCAAGCTACGATACTACCTTTGGTCCTTTGAATAAAGGGAAAAAAAGAAAGTGAGAGAACCACAAAGCTATTAAAGATGCTCGGATTATCTCATTAAAAAAATAACGTGCTTGTGCCAAATTAGTAGTGCGACGGTGAGGGCACATCAAAAGAATCATGGAGTAACCTTGCCACGAGCCTCTAAAGCTTTAAGCCAAGCAGGCAACCAGAATAGTATTGGCAGCAATCAGGATTTCTTACTAGTTCAAATCACGCTTGATTCCCAACAATTTGGCAGACAACTCCCATGCGACAATTGCAGCTGCATTAGCAGGAAAAGCTCTCACAATTGTAGGACCTAGACCCGTATAGCATCCTCTAAGACCTGATCTCCCATAAATCTACAATAATAAACTGATTCAGGCATTTCGTGTAGTAATTTTCAAGTTCAAAATACAAGAGATTATGGTAATTACCGATTTTAAAATGAGAAACGGATTTCTCGTATGGTTTTTCTCTGGGGTAGTCTGAATTATAGTTTTTGCTACATCCAACGGCAGAACTGCTGACCAACACTGGAAAGGGCAGATGCACCAATTAATTGTGGATAGAGCATCACATGGAAAGTTTACAAACAGTACAGAACAAAACAAGGACAAGAGGTAGACTAATCAAGTAAAGTTACAAGGAGAAGTCATAAAGAATGTGGTAATTCCAACCAAGAATACTCACTGCTATACCACCGAGACCACCACTCATTATTCCAACTCCAACATCAACCAAGTGGCTTGACTCAGAGGAAGCACCTTTCAGTTGTAGATGCAAGTGATAACGAACATATTCATATGTACTAAAGAAGACAGCGTTTCCCAAAGATTCTCTTAGTAAAGTCGTGAAGCCTCCTCGAAATATGCCTGTGATCTGGAGAGGTTGTTTGTCAGCTTAAACGCACACCAGAAGCCAAATTTGCATCGATCAATNACGTACACCAGAAGCCAAATTTGCATCGATCAAAAAATTTCTCACCCCTTCACTTTTTACAGTTTTAACAGCACACTCAAGTGGACCACTATATCTACTGGAGCTTGGTACCACAGAATCAGCACCTTGAACTTGCATCCTACACTGGAAATCACAGATATATCAAGGATGATACTTTCCAAGTAATTCTACAGCAGGATGTTATGAACTCTCGCATCACTTACCTTCACCAGTTCTGATGGGCATAGAATGAAGCTGATAATAGCTCCTCCAAAGGCAGCTGAAGGAACTATTGCACGAGGTTGGGGCTTACCTCCATCTGGTCCACCCTTTAAGCAAACACCAAATGTTCGTCATTAATAACAAACTACTGAGATATTGTCACAAAATCGCCAAAGTTCCAAGATACAAGTTAACGGTTCTAAGAGTAGTTGGCTTTCAACATATAACTGACAATCTTCGAATTGAAAGACACAGTAAAATCATCGCTGGATGAACGTTGAACAAACCTGCAGCAGTAGTTTTGTTTGGGAGTAAATACCAAATACAAGTGAGCTCTCAAAGGCCATGCCAATGAACGAAGATGTAGCTCCTCGATATAGCCCCTTAACCTGACACAGAAAATCTTTATCAGCCCAGGTCCTTCAGAGCCCTGAATCCCTGTGCCACACAAGAAGAAAAAAGAACAAAAGAAAAAAATAATAATTGCAGCATAGACAACAAAAATCGACTTTTTCTGGTGTACTCAATAAAAAAGGATATAAGATAAGGCTTATAGGTAAAAAAATATTATCTCAATTTATTTGAAAAAACAGAAACTAGGTTCTTGTATAAAAAAGTAACAGGATTTGGTGGCAATTCTACTTGACAAACGGTCATGGCGGCACAACTTGGCATTTATGTAAAAGAGCCTCTAGTGAGTTCTGTTTCCTCAGATCTGTTTACGTTCTACTTCAGTAACCAGAAACTTTAGACAGATCTTCAACGGAATAAACAATAAGATCATACGCGCATGAACATGCTCATGAATATAAATAGCAACAACAACAACAACAACCACCCTGTGAAATCCCACAAATGGGGTATGGGGAGGGTAGTGTGTACGCAGACCTTACCCCTACTCCGGAGGAGTAGAGAGGCTGTTTCCGATAGACCCTCGGCACAAGAAGAATGAATAGCGCAAGTAAAGATATATCACATTTAGTATATAGAAGACAAGGCTTATCGAAAACTGCGGATGGATTGAAAATAATAGGATCTTTCAACATCAGAAAAGCATTTAAGTAAAGAGATTACACGTTCCACCAACTAAACAACATTCCAATAAATAGACAGGTAAAGCTCAAAGTTGGATCTAGGAAAAAGTTGAGAGGCATACTCCTTCAGTTTGTAATATTCTAGCAGCACAATGCAATCCATTATTGTACTTTATTCCACGAGCTTCTGTATTGTGTTTCTGGAGCTTCACCTGACAAATACATTTCACTTAATTCAATAGGCAGACCCAGAGAAAGTCACAAGAACCTCTAACGCCTGCACAAGTATATAGTATATGATACTATTAAGATCTTCCCTAAACATAAAATTCTAACATCTCGCAGAGGTGACATTCAAGGGCGGTTGTAGTGTTACTAGGTTTATTCAAACCGAACCTAGTAGCTTTGGCTCAGATCCTGTATGTGTGTTAAGAAATCCACTAAAGTATAAATAATAGATTTCAAACCAAGTAAATCAAATGTGCTGTGCTGAATCTTGAACTCGAGCCTTTAAAGTTCCTAGATCCGCCTCTAGCGACATTATGATGTGCTTCAAAGAAAATACCTTACCCTATTTCCTAAAACATTTTACTTAGACTTTTCAATAGCGAGGATGAATAAAGTAAGACAAAGCAATTGTAAAAATCAGAATATATGAATCCTCACTGACCATGTTACTCTATTTAAACTCATCTCATTTCATAATATAATCGACAATATGAATTGTCGCCGACCATGTTACTCTATTTAAACTCATCTCATACCAATATTATGCAAATTCTAATAAGAAGGTAGTAGAAGTTCTCTAACTAATTCCAGGGGAAACATGTGGTTTATTGGGTTAACTACATCTAACGGCCAAAAACAACAAAATACAGAAATCTCAAAATTGTGCTGCATCTAGTTCTAGCCATTCATCTATGAACACACAAAAAACCAGGAGCCTTATTTGTCCAAAATTCTACACGATAAATGAAAAAAAGGGGTTAAATTACGATTGCATAAATCAATTCAGTAATGCAAATGGGTATTTCTGTAGAGGAATTTACCTTGACAGTATCAAAAGGGTGACCAGTAATAACCATAGCAATACCGGCCATTAGACCCGCTACATAGTCCTTGTACCCGGAACTTCCCGGATCCATTTCTCTTTTCTTCCCACTTAAGTATTTGCTGTCTTCTCAGTTATCTATGCAGCTGTTTTTTGGAATTGTGCTGGGTTTTTGAAGGGTTTTTAGCTCAGTGATAAAATCCAATAATTTGCTCTCTGAGGGAACTGACACTTTTTGTAACAATACTAATTCCATCTTTTGGTTATTACCAAATTCGAGAAAATAACAAAAGTTATCCCTAATGTTTGGGAAAAGTTCAAAATAGTCTCTTATGTTTGTCAAAAGTGAGTACTTTTGGTCCACATTAAATATTTAATACACTTTCATTGTTAAAGTTACGAAACTCTGAAGAAATTGATTTAACATGACCTCACTTTTGCGGTACAGTTTTTGTAGTTTTTGTTATTTTTTAGTATGAAGTGCAATTTTTTTAAAAATCTATTTCTAGTGTCTGATACAAATTTTTATGGTGCAATTTATAAATTTGACAGTATTTTCTGGCATTTCTAGTTACATCTTTTTAACACGTTTTTGTTATATCTAACCACTAGAGTTTGTTAAATATTTTATGGAGATTAAACGTGTTCACTTTTGTAATTTAGAGGATCAAAATTGCTCTTAAATATATTTTGAGAGATCATTTTAAACCTACTCCAAACACAAGTGATCGTTCTTTATATTTTTTCTACCGAATTCACTAAAAAAAAAATTCAACTTTGACTTTAAATACATTTTTTGCCAATTCAAGTCAAATATTGTCGAGACGGATGCCAAAATATCACAAATCCAAATAAGTTGTTTTAGACTAGGGCTATATTGTGAGTTTGTTCTTTTCATAAAATGTGTTACTATGTCTCTATCTACATAAGCAAAGCATGATCTCTAGACTTAGATTGAGAAGATCAGTTATACTTAAAATAAAAGTAAAAACAAAAAAACAAAAAAAAAAAAACAACGAAATTACGATCATCTTTTATAATATTAAATTATGTAAGCAGGACGGAATGAAAAAATAATTAATATTAGATGATATTAAGGCATAATTGGTAGGATTAGGATTGAACCCTGTTACGAATGTACCATATACAGATAATCAAATACAATCATTTGCAACCAACTTATATAATTTGGTATTTAAATATTTTGAGCATATATATATATATATATCTCTATCGATTTCTTTGTCTAACAATATACTTGTAATTAAATATCTCCATATATCAAGGAGGCAATTGACAAGTTTGGACCAAACTATAGCATTACGCTGATAGTCGAAAGAGAATAAAATTTGATATATAATTTTAAAGGTCAAATATTTAATTAATTGCATGTTAAGAAAGCAAAAAAATATAGAAGTCCGGCAAAAGTTTTGGGTTTTTTTTCTTTTTGATGCTGTGCATGTGGGAAAAAAAAAGGAGTCCGGCGTGTGTAGTCAACTGCAAAATGATAGTGTATTTATTTGTGTGTGGTGTGTTGTGTGTGCTAGTGTGTGTCATGTAGAGTGCATGTTTTAATTGTTTTCACTATATATTCACATATATATTTAGAATTTTTGCAGAGGTTAATGAGATTCGGTGACCCTTCTTTTCTGTACATAGGTCCGCCCAGTGGCGGACCCAAAATTTTATACAAGCGGGTTCAATCTTAGAAGTATATAAATTTAGTTGTAAAATAATAGTTGTCAAGTGAGTTCAAATAGAATATTTATGCAAAATTTACACAGCTTTAATCCTAATTTATACATATACACAGTATCATTTTTTTGTGAAGCGGGTTCAGTTGAACCCGCTAGCCACCACTTGGGTCCGCCTCCGTGCACATGTACGCATCATGTATGCATGCAGCTTCAAAAATTAGCATTACCTCACATACATATACAAAAAATAATAACATATGAATTAATTCCTCTTTATGTATATATGGAATTTTTGCCTAACTTTACGGATGTCAGCAACCCCTCTTTGTATAGCATAGGTCCGCCTCTTCTTGGAGAGTTGTCTTACTCTTCCAAAGTATATGCACATGACCACTGAATCCCCTATTTCTGTCTGAGCTGGATAAATATTGTAATTTGACTATGAAATTCCCTTTTCATGTGATAAGAGTGTGACAGTTCTGATAGGATCCTCTACTCATTAAAACTAACAGAAGCATAGAATGAGCAACAAAACAATACATGTGCTATCCTTTGGAAGAATTTAGTGTTTAAGGTTAAGATTCCTTATAAAATCTTTGAATTTCAAGTCGTTTATAATGCTCTATGAAACCTAAAGGGCATAAGTGCGATAAATACAGAAATCAGGAGGATTTTTAAGTTCCACAATCAAGAGCCAACTAATATAAGAAGAGTTAGCCAAAAGCCACTAACTTAGACTAACAAAGAAGTTGCAATGCACTGTCTAGGACCTTTATTGCGCTATTGACCTTTGCTTTCAAGCCAAAAGAACAGTTAATGTCGCTTCTAATGTCGTTTGCACATCGTTACATGTCATAGGATGCTCAGTAACTAGTTCTACTGCAAACTATGTCATTGCCATGTTATACAAGCAAAGGCTCAAGAAAACTCCTGTTGTTTCAAGCCAAAATCTCCAATTATCTCTTAGGGGTCGTTTGGTACGCGGGATAAGGTGGAATAAGGTGTGGTACTAAATTTATATTTGTGTGGTTGACGGTATAAATTTATCTTATACTGTCAACCAAACATAATATAAACTTAGTCCCAGACTTAATCCTGGATATCCCAATCTTATCCCACCTTATTCCATCAAACTTAGTATAATTTTATCCCACCTGGAGTGAGATAAATTAATCTAGGGATTATAATTCCAGGATTATAATCCCGGGATAATTTAGTCCGCGTACCAAACGACTCCTTAGTGCATAGTATTTGCTTGGACCTGCAAATAAAACTTACATTATCTTAAGACTGGATCCTCACTAATTAAACATCCAACTCATTGCACTTCCTGCTGGTTCAACACATGATTAGACTCGGAATAATTCTTACGCAGCTTTAGTTAACAACTCAATGCTTAATGAGATGGCTATAGAGCCAAGGAGATTGCAATCCAACATAGATTGCCCACCAGAGAATGCCATTGCATCTGACCATACTATTGCACTGTTTTTGGCAGAGTACCACTCAAAAGATCAGCATGTCAATACAACATCCACAGTTCTATCAACATAGAGAAATAGTGTTAACGACAACAACCAAATTCCACATGACCTCCTTTTTACCTGTAACAGAAGTATTTTTAAAAATTTGCGGTGGTGTTCGAGCCAGCTTGTACACACTGCGACTATGCCACCGAGTACCTACTTACCTCCCATCGACGCGGATGCCAAGTAATTTTGCCCATCAAGGTTTAGGCAAAAATGAAGAAATCACTTCGCGTTTTTTTGCCTCAATCTCCCATCAAGCTCTTAAGATATCCTATATGTTAAAATTGGTTACCATGGCTATTGAAAAGGTCAAATGCACAACAAATCTAGTAGTTTGGTTGTTCCTCACATGGAATACTTTACTTTTCAAAGTACAAGAATGTCTAGCACAATTGACCATTACACCCTTATCTAAGGATTGAATGAACAAAAAGCTGCTCAAACCTAAACCTCCGTTTCCCAGTCAAGATCCTCCCATCATAGTGAACCTCTCCCCGGATGAGGTGGGTGCCTCTTACTCAAGGGGATCAAATCAAAGTTCACTAGGTAACCACTGATCTATAATTATCCATAAACTCCCATGTTTAGTGGAGAAGAAACAAACAAAAGTATCCTTGCTTGCTATCCAATACTTTGTCACGAACTATGGTTGCTAGTTTATTTCATGTATTACTTGCACTAGTCAATATCTAACCAGCTAAGTTGATTGGAGAAAGATTTTATGAGGACATATTCCCCTATTCAAAGACAAGGGATGAAAGACCTCCCAATCTACTTCATGTAACCCTGGAGAAAGAAGGTGACACTTCCCTTACTAACGAAATGTCGTGTTTGTTTATCTTCAAAGGCACAATCTGCTCCTACTCGTCTTTATTACCTTCCTTCAACTATTAGGATGTTTTAGTTTCCTAACTTTTAAAAGTGCAAAGAGCACAAACTACGGTTCAGACCCGGAGCCTTATACGAGCTAATGAGACCTTCACGCCAAAGCCATCAAAGTATCTTTCTTATAGATGCCTCTATTTGTATGGAGAATTGGCTGCTAATAGATGTCGCGCCGTGTCCTCCTCATTTTCCCACTGCCTTCCGACTTGCGGGAGTATACAATGACAATGTCGGGACGTGAGTGCCAGATTGTGAGACTAGCTGTTGACGTCAGATTGAAGATTCCTGGATTATCAGTGGTCTCCTCCACGGCCTATTGCATCTAAATACATCCTTCCTTCTCAATGCCAGAGCATCCAATGAGGAAAAAGCACAGAGAAAAGTATGACAGGAGCAGTAATCTAGTAGTTGACTCCAGCGAAGATGATGGCACATTAGCAAATATTATTTCCCTACCAAGATTGAATCAAACTATTACCAAGAAATCATAGAAGATTCCAAACACTTTCGAGCCATAAAGCAGCAAAAAAGGTCTTATCTTATAAGAAGAAATCCATACGAAAAATTAACATTTTGATTCTAGCCCCTTAGTAGAAACAAAAGTTGTCCCACAATGACGTGTTTCACCAATTCCTGACTGATGGCAGCACGTAGAGCAAAATTCATCTCAAGATTTTCCATATTTCTCCACATACCCCTGCAATCACAGATAAATCAATTGTCAAGTTCAGGGAAGAAAGACTCAGCCACAGTCAGTGAGTACTGTTCCAAAGTGTTGACTCACCTCAATGAGCTTAGCTACTTTTGGCTTAGAAACAGAGAGATACTGCTTAATGGATTCAGTCGTATCAGGAATTTGATCAGGTTGCAAAGAGTTAATGACCTTATCTACTGATTTCTTAACAATCATCTTATATGCATCCCTAATCAAGAGACCTTCATGCCAAGTTGGCTTCAGCAATTCTTTGACGAATTCCACAAGAGCAGCACGAAAATGCTTCAAAACTCCTGATTCATAGTTCACAGATCCATCTCTCCTAAAGTCATTATCAATTTCATAGTTGTGTCTGGGCCTCTCTAATTTTGATTGTGTCCTTTTTTGGCCTCTGGGATTAACTGGTCTTGGGTGTTTTTCTTCTTTTGAAGAGGTATTCACGTTTTCTTGATGAGTTGTAGCTCTATCAGTTGTTTCTCTTTCATCGGCAGTCAAATCTTTCTCTGCTGCGCTGGTTTGCTCAATGCTATCACGAATCGGATCATACAGACTTTCTGGAGGGGGAATAATTTGACTAAGAAAGGTTGATGGTTGAAAAGGCACAGAAGGCTTCCAGTCATCAAAATACACCTTGGTCTTATAATCACGTGAGTGTTCCATGTCCCTTGATAAATCAGTCCAAGAGAAAGGCTCAGTTCCAGAACCAGGAAGTGCTGAAGACTTGTTTGAGATTGACCTAGAAGAACAATATGCTCGACTATGGTCTAAAAGCTTCTGATCACTAACCGGATCTAGGTTTGAAGAAGAAGTAAGATAAGAAGGCCACCTATCCACAGAGTGATTCAAGTGTGGATAATGATGATTTCCGAGTATAAGCTGGGACCTCTTATAACTCGTGTCGTCCAAAACTGAGCTATAAGACGGAACTTCAGCGTTCTGATACTTGTAAGATGACAGTACTGAGCTACTTAGAAGCACTCCACTATGATAGCTATCTTTATTAAGAGAATCATCTTTGAGTAATAGTGATGAAGAGCTTCCATAACCAGCCAAGTAGGGTTTACATCCAAGAGTCTCCCTTTCGATGTCTCTAAACGGTATGTTTGACCGATGCTCATCGCTATGCATATGCAATTCAATGTCACTATTCAACCTTTGATTTTCTCCACATCGAACTGCAGATGGTGCCAAATCAGAAAAACAATCTGCTGCTAGTCTTTCAGTGGTATTTTTTGAACCTATAAGGCAGAAGTTACTTTGTCAGGATTAGTAATGCAAGGCTGTGCAATACTTAAGGTTAACCCATTCCTATAAAACTAGTTTGATATTACCTTCTCCATCTATGAGTTTGCTTTTCATCTTTGCAGCATCTAAAACACCGTCATTATCATGGCTAGTTAGAGGATCCCTTCCTTTGATGCACCAACTTCTAGAGTAAAACTCACTTCTATCTGCTGGTCTTTTATTTCCACCACTAGAATCATCAGCAGGGGACAAACTTCTTAGCCTAATCTTCGGAACATCCAACCTGGAAAATCCAGAATATCAAGACTTGGTTCTACTTGAAATATAGCCAAAACAAACTTCCAACAAGGAGATATTCAAAAGCAGCATAAGACCCAACTTCCTAGTACGACTAAAGAATTGAACCAGGACCAGTATAATAAACCTTGATGATGTCTGTCGTAAATCCTCAGACGCTTCTTGATGACCTCCTCCTTCAGAGAATTGGGCACCAATAACTTCCTTGCTAGAAGCATCACTATTTACTATATCAGCACTTGCTTCATGATCAAAAGGCTGGATTACATGGGTTATCCTTTTCCCACTGTATCTAAGAGCTTGAGGATCAGAAAGCACGACCATTCTTTTTCCTGCAAGAGCCCCAATAGGATCCCAGTGAATCTCTATGACTCTTGTTACAGGAGATCAGAATGTTCAATTTTTTTAATTGATAAGTAATACCGGAATGTTTCCCATTTAATTTAACAAGAGTTCTCACCATCCAAACTTGAATCATTCTTTTCTCTTCTTTCATCTGAATTAGATATTCTGCAACTGCCACTACCCTCTTCAAGCATAGTGGTATCAGGATTTACTACAGATTGTTTTGGAGTAGAAATTCCTGATCTTAAGTGCTCTTCAAGACCCACAGGCTCCAGAATGTGGGTTCCATCTACAAGGAAGAAAGATCAGAGTAAGTCAAATAGCAATGGAACAACTTTTTGGTGGATACCCTAACATTTATCTACCCGAAAACTCTACCTAAGCATGAAAACCATTGTCTGTCTTACCAGATCTACCGTGCACACAAACCTTACAACAACTACTAGGCCTCAGTCCCAAACATGTTGGGATCGGCTACATGTATCCTCACTAACCATGTCTCTCCATTAAAGCTCAACTCATGTCATCAACATACCAAATAAAAATAAGAGTGAAAAATAAGTTACATATCTATAAATAATATTTTAAATATTAAATTTATGATAAGGTCAAAACACTCCTAGACAAAAGCAATAGGTTTAAAATCAACGTACTAACAAGACTAAACCTATTCTCAACTAGTAGATATTACCTATATGGATCTTTTTCTTCTATTGTGCCCTATTTTTAACTACTCTGTATTGATTCTAAGAAATTATAGGTATTTTAAGACAATTTCCTTACATGTGATTTTAGGTCTACCTTGTTCTTTTTTAACACCTTCACTCGCCATAGTTTCACACCTACGGACCGATGCATTTGTTAGGTCGATGCAGGACATGACCAAACTATCTAGGAGCCTTCTCTCATGTTATTTTCAATGCGTGTTATTTTCACTTTCCGGCGAATATGGTCATTTTTTATCTTATCTAATTTTGTATGACCACACATCAATTCTAGCATCCGCATCTCTGTAACATTCATCTCGTAAATACATTAGATTTAGTGGCCCAACATTCACTAGCATTTTGTTGGTCCTATAATTTTTTTGTACAACTTACCTTTTACTTTAGTACGCATCCTCCTATCACATAACACCCTGATAGTAGCACTTTTCCATTTCAACTATCGGTTTTAATTCTATAAGTAACATCTTCATTTATCATTCCATTCTCTTGAAACAACGATCATATATATCTAACGTATTTGTATTTTGGCACTACAATTTCGTTTAGTCTCACCTCAATTTTGCTTTTCTCATGCTGACTAAACCTGCAGTGCAAGTATTCAATCTTATTTCTACTAATCCTAAAACCTTTAATCTCCATAGTTCATGTTTTTGGTTGACGCCCACGCCGGTTTCGTTCTCAATAAATAGCATATACCATGGGACCTCATATTGTATTGTATTAGTTAGCACATCCAAAACTAGGGTAAACAAGTAGAGGTTCAATAATGATCCCTGGTGTAGATCCATTGTTATGAGAAACTTTTTTGTATCTTCTACTACTATTCTCACGCTAATGACGGCTCATTCATACATGTGCTTTGTGACATTTATATACTCTCTCTGTCCCATTTTATGTGAAGGTATTACTTTTTGGGAGTCGAACAAATTTTTCTTTGATTATGATTTTCTTAGACTCTTATTTTGAATCACTACCTATGTTGACTTGTAGTACTTTTCATGTAGTTTGCAAATGTATAAATTTTATTTTAAAAAATATGAAGAATCTATAACCGAATTCACATAAACAATTAAGTGATTTGACCCTCGTACTCCGAACCCCTTCACATAAATTAGGATAAAGGGAGTATTTAATATGAATTCCTTTTTTTTCTATTACCCACCTAAGGACCTTTCATGGTACTCTACATGTACTTTCTCTAGGTCAATGAACACCATATGTAGATCTTTCTTCCTTTCTACGATTAATTTTCATCAATCTTCTTCGCGAGAATATAGCCTCGGTTACAGATCTACCAAGCATTAACCCAAACTGGTTGTCTATCACACTTGTATATTCTTACATTTACGCTCTATTACTCTTTCCTATAGCTTCATCATATGGCTCCTGAGCTCAATATTAAGATATTTTGCACAACTTTGATATTTCCGTTGTTCTTAAAATTTGGAATCAGTATTCACTCGTCGGGCATCCTACCACTTTTTAGTATAGCATTGAATAGCTTGGTGAACCATTCTACTCCCTCTCCATGACACTTCTGAACCTCTATCAGGATACTATCTGAACCACAAGCACTCCAACAACAACAACAATAACAACTCAGTATAATCCTACTAGTAGGGTCTGGGGAGGGTAGTGTGTATGCAGACCTTACCCCTACCCTGGGATAGAGAGGCTATTTCCAATAGACCCTCGGCTCCCTCCCTCCAAGAACTCCCCACCTTGCTCTTGGGGTGACTCGAACTCACAACCTCTTGGTTGGAAGTGGAGGGTGCTTACCACAAGCACTCCAATCCTCATATTTTTCAAGGCATCCTTTACCTTTGTTTGCCTAATTCTACGAGTGTAAACGTTTCTATCATGCACAGATGTGTAGAGGTCCAAAATGTCATTGTCTTGATTCGAGTTGAACAACTGATCAATAGCTCCGTGACCTCGTTATTTCCCTAGCTTTTGGTACAAGTCATCTAGAGCTTCCACTCGAGCTTTATTAATAGCCTTCTTAGCTTCCCTCTTGTATCCTTCAAAGGCTTCCCTGTCTTCTGCTTTTAGCAACTTCATATAGCACTTTCTTTAGCTTTAATAACTCTTTATACCTCATCATTTCACCACCGGGATTCATGTGGTCGAGTCCTAGATCTTTAAAAACACCTAACAATTCATTTACTTTTTTAATGCACCCTAATAGTTCCCTCCATAGAATGTCTGCATCCTCCTCTATGTCCTTAGCTCCCTTCTCTCGTAGTTTTTCTTAAAACGCTAATCCGTAAGCACCCTTTAATGCCCACCACCTAATTAGCGGTTGTTTGCAGGTCGTACTCTTTCTCCAAAGGCTTCCTCGTCTTCTACTTTAGGCAACTTCCTATAGCACTTTCTTTTAGCTTTAGTAACTCTTTGTACCTCCTCAATTCACCACCAGAATTCCTGTCTTCGAGTCCTAGAGCTTTAGACACACCTAACGATTCAATTACTACATTTTTAATGCAACCTGACATTTCCTTCCACAGGATGTCTACGTCCCTCTACGTACCAAGCTCCATTCTCTGGTAGTTTTTCTTAAAACGCTAATTGTTAACGCCTTTTAATGTCGACCACCTAATTTGCGGTTGTTTGCAAATTGTCTTCTTTTTTTTCACTCTACTCTTAAGCTTTACATTTAAAATCACTAACCTATGTTGGGTTGTCATCACTTTTCCTGGAATAATTTTACCGTCCTTGCATGTAGTTCTATCACGCTTTTTTGGAAGGATAAAGTTTATTTGACTATGGTTACCCCCACTTATATAAGTTATTATGTGAGAATCTCTTTTTTTAAAGTATGTGCTAGCTATCACTAAATCATAAGCTAAAGCGAATATTGAGACGACCTTCCCTTCGTCATTCCTAGTAACCATAACCATAATCCCAGTGTACTTGTTCAAAACTGTCACTATCTTCATCTACATGACCATTTAAATCCCCCCCTATAAAGATTTATTGTCTCCTGGAATCCCTTGAACCAAAGTGTACATATCCTCCCAAAACTTAGCTATACCTTCTACATCTAATCATATTGTGAAGCATAGCCAATAATATCATTGATTGTCTCTTTTCGCCATACAATCTTTAGTGCAATAATCCTATCTCCGACTCATTTTACCTTTATAATCTTATCTATAAGTCTCGGTTCTACAATAATTTTCACTACATTCCTATTTTATCTATCTCACAATACCGTAATTTATAACTCATGTTACCTATTTCTATAGGCTTTTGCCCTATCCATTTATTTAGTTTCCTATAAGCCTGCAATATCCACGCTCCTCCTTTTTAGGGTATCCACTCAAAGTGCCTATGTTCCAGCTACCTACCCGGATCCGACTTTCTTAGACTAGCTCTTTTACCCTTATTTGTCCATGATGTGAGAAGATTTTCTTATTTTGCACCACATCCAGGCACTGATATGGTGGAACTAGCTACTTTACCCACACCCATCCATGTTATGGGAACCCTTTCATATTTTGCACCACATCTGGACACTGATGTGGCGCAACTAACTTCTTTACCAAGACCTCTCCGTGATGTGGGAATCCTTGCTCATACTTCCTCACACCCATGCGACAATGTGATACAACCCCTTGCCCATTTTTCTATCACATTTGGGTGCCGATGTATGCATGCCTAGGTGGGCACACCCCAATGATATTTGTTATATAAGGATTCATCATAAATTGACATGTTTTACGCTAGCTTCAAGCATACCGCAACCCCATATGAGCAATGTGGTTTATTTGTGTTTAGGATCAGTAATATGAGCAAGCTCACACAAGCAAAGTTAAGGCACATGAAACTTTATTGCTAAATAATAAGGCCAATAGATAATGGTGCAGAACAAACCTTAAGGAAATCCTACATTGCATATTTCCATATTTAGGGATGGTAATGGGGCAATGGGGGTGGGTTTGAGGAAGAGTCCCCCCTCCTTCTCATAAAGCATGCACCTCGTTGCCAAAACCCCATAATTATTTCTCAGAATTAGCTTTGTTGAAGACACTCAAACCTCTCATCTCGAACCCCTTTGCCTCTTTATCAAAGATGTAACTGCCTTCAAGTTTTGACCTCGTTCTTAGTGTCCCACAAAACTCCTTTAAGCATCTCTAATTCCTTGGTAACAACAACAGGTGCATGCATAAGAGACACGCAATATTGGAAACAAGGTCTTGATCAATACTTCTGAACCATCTTAAATCCATGGTCTAGGTAATATCCATATAAATGGAGAAAACTCAACATTAGGTTATCACCACTAAGTTTTTATGCATGGTATTTGCAACTCTGGATGATCATTTGATCTTTCCGAATTCTACTGTTTGTGTTCTTTCAATAAGAGTTCAAATTGTTCAAGAGGTCAAGTTCATTTACTGTGCTTACTACGAAAAAGAGTGGAGCTAATGATATTAAGGAATTTAGGTTTTTTAGCCTTGAGAAGTATCTAAAAATAATAACAATAACACTTGAAAGGATATTGAAACTCGTGTTGGATAACCTAATCACCTCAATATGCATTTGCAGGGAGAAAACT